ATCCCAGGTACAAGAAAATATCACTGTATTGTTCCGATTTCCGAAAATAAAATATCAGCGAAACTATTTTCGAATGACGAAGAACGCAACATTCATAACATATAAAAACATGCCAATCAAAAGTTCATCAAATAAAAATAAATCCAACGAAAAGGTTTATCTACAAATTATTATTATTAAAGACGATCGAAAGTAATAAATGTAAGATGCAAATAAAAACGCATGGGTATTTCATTTATTTATCTTATTTATCTTATAAGCTTAAAACCAATTTTCCAATAGTCTATTGGTGCAAGGGTAAGTTGAAGGTAAGTACATGCATATCTTGCAAAACTTATCATATTTGATGGACAATCACGTATAACTTACCAAAAGGGCATGTTTTCAACAAAAAAATTGATTATGATGAAAGTAAATTTGAAATATCTCGAAAACGGCTACATTTAGGAAGTTTATCAATATGAGCACTATCGTTTGAAATGATTTTTATAATCATATACTGACATCAAACTGAACATTTTGCCGTAAATAATGAAAGTTTCAAAAATGCCTCAAAAGTTACTCTTAGAAAAACTTTTTTTTTAAAGTTTGTCCCTCCTGAAGTTGTTTTCACAACTTCTGCTTTCTATTCATGTTTTTATTAAAAAAAAATTAAAAAAAAAAATCAAAAATACGTTTTTTTTTGTTATTTGAATTTTGAGGTTTATTTTTAATTTTTTATGTATTAAAACGAAAAAAAAATTTCGTGTATATTTTTTTATAAAGCCTTATTAGTTTCCTACAACTCCTTCTTAGTAAATTTTTTTCTACAACCAACTGTTTTCGAATTACATTTTTTTAAGTTTGTGTGCAAAAACACATAGGCTATTTTCAAAAATTACCTTTGAGTCAAAAGGGTCTCCTCTCCTGCGGAAAATGCTTGGTCTATCATACAGAAAATATGGGCCAAGTATCATCCAGATCGAAGATAGTCAAGTTTGGTGACTGACCGATTTGGCGTGGAATTGGTCAGCTGCTGTTATCAAAAATTGAATTTTTAACCATATATTTTTTCCCTTGATTTGTTTTCTGCCGATCTTGTTTTCCGTACTACCGACGCCAGGGTGGCAACTCCCACACATGGATCGTACCTATTGACCCATCATCTCATGGACCGGGTACCAACGCCTTTACTTCCCTTTCGAAAGAAGGCGTGATCAGAGATTGTATACCTCAGAAAATCCCGACGGCGCCGACTGGGATTGAACCCAGGCTCTTTGGAATGACAGGCTGTCACGCTTACCGCTATATGAGAAGCTGGATCCACCGGTTTTATGCCATTCTAATCAAGTATGTAATGATAAATATTAAGTTAATGATTCTCAACATGCGTCTTGAAAAAGAACTTCGACGCTGTGGGTCAGTCACAAACATGGCTTAAGTGTGATGGAAGCGGTATTTCAACCGATTCAGTCGCCTTGCACCAATCAGCTATGAAAATGTCTATGTGTCCGGTTCGGATCTTCCGAAGATTGTCTTTATTATTTAGTTCCCTTGGCGTGATCAGAAATTGTATGCCTCAGAAAAACCCGACGGCGCCGACTGGGATTGAGCTCAAGCCCTTTGGGGTGAGAGGAAATCACGCTTACCTCTCACATGCATGTGCATGCGTGTTCGTGGTTTCAAGAAACGATTTCCAAATATATATAGACCAAATATAATGGATGTATTTAATGGACGATGCAAATTATGGAAAAATTTACTTTGGACAATTTCCGGTGAAAAATGTTACCTGTTGCCAAAGTGAGGGGAGGGGGGGGGATAAAGTTCAAATTTGCCTTTTTAGATAAATTCTTTCGCAAGTTGATGATTTGGCAAGGCATCTGAAGTTGTGGAGAGAAAACAAAGGTTTTAATCACTGGAGCGGCTATAAATGGACAACTTTAATGTGGAATTTACTGAAAAAAGTATAAACCCACTAAATTGCTCAAATTTTCTATCTATGGAACAATTTTTTGATTATCATGCGTAAATTGAAGAAATGTGGCAAAACAATCAAAACGCCATCTGATTTGGAGAAGTGACGGGAAAAGATGGCAAATAAGGTTGACAGTACTACTATAGAGATAACTCTAAGACCAGAAGGTCCCGAAGAAACGTGCTCAACTTTTTAGCTCAGCTCAGGTACTATCTTCGGTCCCAAGCCAATCGATGCACCCCTCGAAACATAGGAAAATCCACGAACCACGAACATAGAGTAGTACTAGAATTTCAACTAGAATGGGGTACGCTTATAGGCGTACTTGGGACCAATAGGCTAGTCAAGTAGTGAGCCAATTTTAAATCGTTAGTTTCCACCGGTTGGTACTACCAACAATCAATACGAAACTAACGATTTTAAATTGGCTCACCACTTTAGTAGCCTATTGGTCCCAAGAAAACGATTAACGTACCCTATTCTAGTTGAAATTCTATTACTACACTATGTTTGTTTTGATTCGCTATGAAAGTTTGACAGATAACATCAGGGGTGTGTGGATTTATGCAGAACATGCAGGGGTGAGTGAAATAGCTTGGGACTGCTTGGGACCGTTGTTCTGGTACTGAGTGAGCCAAAAATAATAATGATTTTCTTCGGGACCCAGTGGTCTTAGAGTTACCTCTATGGTACTACTGTGCAAATCATGTCTTAGTATTGGGAGGTATTCAGCGAAAAATTCTAAAAGAAAAAAAATATTCTTGTATTTTCCATTAGAGATTAATAAAAAATCTACAAAATAATACTCTTGCCGTTTTTGTATGTATTTCCCTCTTGAAGAAATGACCCATTTTGGGCAACCAAATTCTAAATGGAAAAGACTTTAGAAAAAGTTGCTGATTACTGTTGTATCATCGCCAACGTATCGATTGTTAACCCATGAGTGCTCTCGCTCACTCTATTACTACAATACCCCAGGTCCCTGGTCTACAGCCACGGATACCAGACGGGGTGTGCTGTCCACCAGCCTCTTTTGCGGCGACTTGCTCGAGCTTGAGAGAAGCAGCTCTCAAAGTCGGCTCCGGACAAATAGGGGACACTGATCCGCAAGTTCAAACACGGTCACCTACTCTTTCACCAGTTAACTTTTATTTACCAAAACCTACTTACAATTTCTGGGTGTTTGTGTGTGTAAGGGCTGGCCAGCACGGGGATCTCTGCTGAGGGAAATCACGGTACCTGGTTCCCTACCAAGGCTGAACTTCAACTCATTGGCACGATCGAGCACTACCTGGCCCGGTGCGATCTCGGGCTGATTTACACATGGCTTCGAGGTAAAACTTAATGGGTCCTGCGGGCACGTGGGACATCGGAAAAGGGTCTATGGAAGGTTGTGCTACCGGAGTACGTTTTATATTTTCCTACCTGAATCTACGGTTCATACGCCCTTGTAAATTCCGTAAAAAACTTTTTTGTTTGCCCCAACCAGAGATATTAATATTTGAAAAGGGCATATTTTTAGTAGAAAAACTTCAATAACTCTTAATCGGCGAAAGATATCGACAAGTTTTATGCAGCAAAAAATTGCGGCTTAAAAAGATCTAAAAGTTATTTCAAGACATCTTTGCTGAGAAATTTGAAATAAGAAAACTGTTTTTTTTTAAAGGCACCCTAACTCAATATAAGAAAATACCACTAAATCGGTCAATTTAAGTGATATAAAAAAGTTGCTTGAAATTAGGTCAGCTATAACTTTGCCGAAGAATGTATAGCTTAATTTCTTCAAACAAAAAAGTTAGATTTTTTGTTCCAATGATAATAAGAACCACCCTAGAATTAATTGTCTTAAAAATGAGGGCCTAACTATAAGGAACAACTTTGTAGAAGCGACTTTTAGTCTAAAGTTTCAATTTCCGGCTCAAAACATATCCTTCCAGCTAAATTTGCATTCTGGACCACTATGCATTGTAGTAATAGATTCTATTGTTTTTGTATGGTAAATTATTATTCGGGCAGTGATTGTTTTGTTTGCGTATTTTTCCTTCAGTACTGGGAGACATTCTTCCGAGAATTGTTGCCTTTATCTTCTTGGGGTTTCCTAGCAAGGTTTGACTTAATTAACCATTCGGGGATTTTTTTTCTTCGGGGTAACCACTCATACAACCGGTGGCCTAGGGTTAGAGCACTAATTTAGTTCCTACCACTTAAATCCATTGGGATAGTACGAAATTATGCGGTCGATTCGGTATTTTTATGGGAAGAAAATCAAACAGACTTTGCTTCAATCTAGTGTTTTAGCCATGGGATCTATCGTGGGTACATGTTGAGAATTGGTGTTACTTTCATATTGGACATCAATCATCTGTTCGTGTTGGAATTGGTGTTTGACGTAGTATTTTATTACTTTTGCAGTGAGTTGAGCAGGCAGCGATCGATTACAAAGACTGTCTATGTTGTAAGAAAATCAACAAAGCATATAATTGGATGGCTTTTGATTGAATGATTTTCGCATTGATTGATAGATTATGCATCCAACTGTTCACTACAGAACAGTACCCTAGGATCATTTCTAAGAAAGATGTTCTTTAACCGACCGGTTATCATCACCGGCAAGCTCTTCTTCTTAAATGAAGATTGTTTATGATTCAAACATCGTTTGTTTTCGGTTCCTCCCATAATCGGAAAAGCCGGTTCTTTGCGGGTGTTTGTCAGATATGCTTCGTGTATGGAATAGTGTTGCTCAAGAAACATTTTGAACGTTAGAAATACAAGCTCACGTTGGGAACAGTCAAAATTAGGTGTGGTGAACAGTTGAATGTATCGTGTTTGGGTTATTATTCCTTTTTTCAGTGAAGGGATTCAAGAAAATATGAATGATTAGAACAAGTTTATAAAAAACTCATTCATCAAGTCCGGGACTGGTTCAAGCTTATCTCGTCGGCTGTACCAATACCAACAACGTGTCGATCGGATTTCGAACCGAAGCTGGAGCCTCACTACAGCCTGGATAGAGGTGTAATAAAACAACACGATCGGTTCGGGCAGTGATCAGTTCGTATTGTACAGCCGCGACCGGCGGATTAGTTGAGCTTTAGGAGTAGGATCGCGCGTGATTGGTTGTCCGTGTACAGCTCAAGTGAATTTGTGATCTGAATAGCAAGTGGTGTGCTAATAACAATAATAAACGGCCATAGGTGACCGGTTGGAAGTGGCAGCGGGTCGTCCAAGTTATTATTATTGGTGGGATTTCCAAGTCTCTGAGAAAAAATAAACAGTGAAATTGTGACGATAGGTGGTTCAAGTGAACAAGATTAGAATGGGGCACATCCAGATGTCCCATCTGTGGGCATTATCACTAACGGTGATACTTTCGGTGCTAGTGCTAGGCTGCAGTAGTGAAGGGTTAGTATTTTAGCCAAAAAAAAAATTGATCATCTAAAATTAAAAACCCATTTCGCTCTCGAGCGTAACGTAACGAGTTAATAGTGGAATAATCACGTATGAAGTGTCCGGGTGGTAGTAAACATTGATCATTCGGACAGTTGGGAAAATCGGTGACCTGTTGTGGATGTCCACTGCCGCTGCGCACGTACTGTGCGAGCGATGACGAAACCTCGGCGTTGCGTTCATACTTGACAAAGTTGATCTGCCAGTTATGGGCATAGCGTGTTTCCTTATGAGACCCACATCCACCGCGCGCTGTCTAAAGGAAATACAAACAAAACAGTGCAGAGAGTCACACACGGCCAATGATCGGGCATTGATGGATTCCTACGACGACGACGACGACGACGACGAATCAGACTTTTGTGAATATGAGATCACTTGGAACACAGAGGTGCGAGAAAGATGCGTCGGCGGAGCTGAAAATACCTAAGCGATTACCGAGGTTGTAGTAGCACTGGACGCAGAGGTGTTTGATCGCAACGGAGTATTAAAATTACCTTCCTCGGTTCACCCACCCACATGGGAAACGCAGTGCTCGAGTAGAGCTTTAGTCATTCGCCTGTAACACGACGATGACGATGACGGCTAGTTGTAGAACAATCACATAAAAATCCGAGAAGTACATTCTTCCGTTTGACGAGGCGCACCTTTTATGGCGCTACTGATGCTGGTTGACCTTGGCGAAGAAATTGAAGATCGTGAGGCTGCTGTTATGCGCTAGTGCATACTATACCTTGGCATTGGGAAGGCTTCGCATGCGACTGTACGGTTGATGTTTGTTGGGATTGCGTTATGCAACGATCCTGTTATTTTTTATTTGGAGAAATGGATACTTAAGAGTGAGAGAGGATAGAAATTGATCGCGTTACGTTCACCTTCTGCTGTCTGATGCAGTTTTAAGTAGCAGTATGCTCAGCTGGATTAAATGATAAATTATGCAAATTGGTGCGGCGTAAGGAGCGCGAAATGAGATCATTGCAAAACTTGATTCTGTTTACCCGGATGACAATGCCGCAAATTGAAAAATAGTCTTTCGTTTGTGGAGGATTGCATTCTTATATGCAATAATCAAACTGATGGGTGTTTGTTGTGCTGCTTAACTCAACTGGCGTTTAGATCGTTAATAATATCTGTTCTTCAAATTTGATTAAATGGCGGCTCAAGTTTCGGTAATTAAAGTTTATTCAAATAAAAAAATATCAATTAATGGCTTCAGATTGACCATTAGACTGAGGCAAAATATTAAATTTTCGCTCTAATATGCTGAAATGGTTCCAAGTTGGGTCCTGATTAGTAGACTGATGCAAAATTTGAAATTTTCTCTCCACAGTGTTCAAACGGTATCAAATCGGGTTCTGATTAGCCTCCGAAAGTTTGATAAGAAACTGACTTGGCACAAACCATTTGAAGTTTATATGGAGATTACTATGGAAAAACAAAACTTTTTGTTCATTGTCGTTTAGCATTTTACATATTGTACTGTTAACAACTTCTATTGCTATTCTTATGGGAATTTTTATCAGCTTCAACTTTGCAGAAAATCGGTTTTCAGCCAAACGTCAAATTAAATAGTTATTAATTGTTTAAGAGATTGATAATTTTATGGTAAGATTAAGCGACTGTATTGTGGGCAACACTGCATTCTGCAGTGTGACATAGTATTTGAAGTGTTTATAGGAAATAACTTTAACAAAATCAAATGTTGTCAATCTAAAAATTCACCATATCACACTGCTTTAAAAATGATAGCTATGTAGAATGTCACTTCTTGATCAAATGTATGGAACAAAAGTTATTAATAATCCAAGTCACTGATGGCAACTGTTCAGCAGGCAACACTGGTGTTAGAATAGAGTACAAAAATCATGGCTACTACACGGTAACCTCAAAATACCCAAAAATGACTACAAAGTAAGCATTTTCGAGGAAAACTGGGACTAGGGTTAAATACCCCATTTCCGGCCTATTAAGCATAACACGCACTTAGTCTTTCTTAATCTAGATCAGTTTTGCACCAAACGGAATGTTATTATTACTGATGGCTTCCAAATTTATTAACCTTTCCGTACGTACCGTAAGATTTGATAAAGAGAAACTAATCGTTGAGATATTGTCAAAAGTCTAACACTGCTTCTTGACGCAAACTCGGCCTACGAATTCTAAACTCGGCCTTACGCATTGCAACGCCATTGAAACGCCAATGAATTCACTTCGGCCTATCGTATGAAGATAAAAATTGATTCGGTCGGAGCGCTTCTTTTGTTTTTGGGAATAATGGGTGCAAACTTTCATACCACGCGTTCTCATTGACTTCGTTCGGTAGCTTATTAACTAAAGTATCGTACCAAACGCATAATTGACTTGTTAACTCTGAAATCATGGATTTATTTGAAGATTTCTGCTCGATAGGCCCAAAATGGGCGATTAGGCCGAAGTAGTGCTCTACCCTACCTATTAAATGAGTAAAATTTTACTATTACAAAAATATTAAGAAAGTATTCATGTGTTGGTAACAAACAATCATAAATGGGTAACTTTTTAACTGGGTACTGCGGACTCACTCAATGTGCTTGTCACTTGGGAGCCAGTCAGAACTGTCAAACGAGAGCCAAACATTCAGAAGCAACAAATGAAGTTATGTTCTTACCTATCGTCAAGCATTGCAATCTCATAAAAATATTTCATACTTTTTCATAACACATTCTTAATTGTAAGCTCAAAGACAAAAACCAGCAGGCCCAGTGAAGATAGTATAAAAACCAGCATAGCTTTTACGACTCAGCTGAGTTTTCAATTGCAGTAAAACATACTTTGGCGAAACATGTATGTAAACAAACTTTGATAGGGTTATGGGAGCTCGAGCACTCCTGGCTCAGAGCTTTGGCGGGAATCAACTGAGAATGAACAAAACAATTTTAAAACAAATTTTCAAGCAGTTTTCCATTGGCTTGCATAATAAAATCGATTGACTTGTAGTCAATATCGAGTCTGTTATAGTCATTATTGGGTATTTTGCGGTAGCTGTGTATGTCACAGTGCAGAATACAGTGTTGCCATTAAAACAGCGGCTTGATCATGCCATAAGATTATCAATCTATTAAAAATTAATAGCTATTTAATTTGACGTTTGGTGGATCTGGTTGAACGATCTTCCACAAATTTGTAGCTGAGAAAATTTCCCAATATGTAAAATGCTAGAATACAATGAACAAAAGGGGTGGTTTCCCACAATAATTTCCACATAAACTCCAAATAGCTTGTGCTTATTTAGTTTCTTATCAAATGAGTTTAAATTTTTGGAGCCTAATCGGGACCCGATTTGGAACCGTTTGAGCACGGTGGAGCGAAAAATTTAAATGTTACACGGTGGAGCGTAAATGATCCATATTGTGGTCACTTTAACACATTTGTGTCATTCGTGACTTGTCCGTTGATGAGATTTGAAGTAGTGACTTTGGCGTGAGAGGTTTGGATGTTAACCACTATGCCGGAGGCGTCACCGGTCAATCATTTAGATCATGCTAGAAATGGTTGAGGATTCTTATCGGGCCAGTTTACAAACTCCGTTCGAATTTCAGAATTTCCATGCACAAATTGCAAAGCTTGGCACACCAGACTCACCTTAAGCCCAAAGAATCGACCTTCCTATTTGCTTTTGCTTCATGTCAAGCGGATGATAATTCTTTACCTCTAAATTCATGTTTACCAATAATCTGTTTTTCTACCATTTCATTCGATGGTAATGGAAGTCGTCAGTAAACAAGTGGGATGTTGATGATAGTACCTGTGTTCCCGGGAAACGAATACGATTCCAGTTTAATCCACTAATGAACCAAGGTCGTAAAGTGTGTGAGTGCTTGCCTGACAAGTATTTTTTCCCCCGTTGGATTTGTATTGTTAGAAGATGGCTATCTGTCTACAGCTTGTTGACTGCAACTCGCTGCCTGCTGCTTGTGCAGTGAGTTGAAAACCTGCGGGAATCTCAATCTCAAGTGCAAACACAGCATAAGAAAAACAAAGAAGGTAGAACCGGCTTTTTGAAGTTGAAAACCAATCCAGTCGAGAGAATGATGAGAATGCAAAAGATGGATTGAGTAGTTTTTTTTTTACGGTTTTGGTTTTTGTTTTCGGGTTGACTGGAACATTAACGGTGGGAATGATTGATCGGAATTCATCTTAACGTTATCCCAGGGGATTTTTTGGGATTAGAAAGAGGCAACTCAGGTGAACAAAAAAACAAAAAAATCGTCATTATCTTGGTTGCCACAATATTTCAGAACCTGTTTGGAGATCGGACTATGTTGATTTTCAGATTGATCAATTTACGCAACAGTCGTCGCACGGGTTGTCTTTCTTGCAGTTTATAATTTTTGGGCTACGACCAATTCGTTATGTCAATCAATATAAAATAAAATCCGAAATTTTGGATTAGTAAATTTTGGCTTGGCAATTGACATTATGAATGTAAATGTTACGGTCATTGACATGTCCACTAGACTTATGCAAATTTTGTAAGTGGATCCAAATTGCGCTTTGATTTTCTCCCAAAATTTGAGCTGGTTTAGTTACTTTACACAAATTATTTGAAGATTAAATGGAAGTTAATACAGATGAATCCATCTTCTTGCTTACGTCCATCTATTTTTGCCCGGCAATGAACATTTTCACAAAAAAATATGTTCTTACTTGAAACTATAGGATGAAAATTTAAAGGTAGTATTTTTATCCATTTTTGAGTTATGATTGAAAAACTAACGGGTGGCCACACGCCACTCTGAGAAAACTACACAAAACATTCATGCAAATTTAGGTACTCTGAGACTTGCATAAGAGTGTTTTAAGGCCAAATGACAAAAACATAAAAATTTGATTTCACGCTCGACCTTCTCGGAATTGCATGATTGTTTTTTATGGTCAATTATTCACATTTGAGCAAAAATTCGGCCTTTTTGTAT